GCTAAACACCAGCGATATTATCCTTGTCTGTTCACTGTCTTTATGCACGTATGGGCCTCCTTGCTGGCTCAGACAGTGAAGGATGTGCCTGCAATGCAGGAGACCTGGGTTTGATCCCTGGGCTGGGAAGATCCTCTGGACAAGGGAACGCCTATCCACTTCAGTATTCTTGCCTGGAGAATTCTACGGATAGAGGATCTGACATAGCATACGGGAAACTGGTATTTATTGAAGTGTTATAAGGATATTTCACATCATTTAAAGATAGAAGTAGCCCACTGGGGTAGAGAAGAATAGGACATGGTCAGACAGGGCTTGTGTTCGGGCTGCCATGCAGCATCTGGGAGGCAAAGCGCTCACTCACCCCGGCTCCTTGAGTATAGGGGGGGCTGTGAAGGAAAGGGGAAGGGAAGTCGCTCAGTCGTGCCTGACTCTTTGCGACCCCATGGACAGTAGCCTGCACCAGGCTCCTCCGTCCAAGAGTACTGGATTTTCCGGGCAAGAGTACTGGAGTGGGTTGCCGTCTCCTTCTCCAGGGGATCTTCCCTACCCAGGGACTGAACCCAGGTCTCCCGCATTGCAGGTGGGATCCTTTACCAGCTGAGCCACCGGGGAAGTCCTGGGAGGGCTGTGGTGAGGTTTAAATAAGACACTGCACGTGGAGTCTCAGGCACGGTGGGGCCACGGCAGGGCTTCTGTGTGGCCCCATTTCCATTTCTCTTCCTCTAACAGTATCAAAAGAACAAACATTTGTAGAACTTACACATTATGTAAAGGGCTTTCAAATAAAGAAGTAATTGAGGTACCTCCCCGGTGGTCAGTGGTTAAGACTTTGCCTTCCGACACAGGGTTTGCAGATTTGCGATCCCTGGTCGAGAAGCTAAGATCCCGTATGCCTAATGCCTTGCGGCCAAGAACCCAAAACATAAAACAGAAGCAAAATTGTAAGAAATTTAATAAAGACTTTAAAGAAGATTTAATTAAAAAAAGAAGTAATTGATCTAGTCATACGTATTAAGTAATCCTGTTTGGATCAAAATATATTAGACATTCAACTGAATGAACTTTCTAGGGATTTAGAAGCAATGGAGACAAAGCCTTTCTAGTGCCCAATATATCACCTCAGGCAAGTTCTGATTCTGTCTCTTTCTGGTTGTGCTACCCAGACCAAGCCACATAATTTCTCAGTTTCCCAGTCTTTGAAATGTGGATAAGTCTGCTTCTAAGGTCTGTGTACATCAGGTAAGGTAACTGCCTCAGGCAATATTGATATTTCAATTTAGATGACACCAATCAAAACACGAGAACTTCTTTAGTGTGGGTTTTCTCTCACTGCTCAGGAGTCTTTCTTATTTTGTGAAAATAGAAGGGTTATTTCATTTTCCTCTAAGTATTTGGTTATAAATAAATGGCTGTAAGTGTCACATTGGGAAATTCTTTTTTCTTTTTCATAACTTTGGAGCATGTGGTCCCTAAATTTTATTAATTCCATTACTCTTCTTTATTATTTATTTCAAGAACATTTTTACTTATCCTAAGTATCATTCAAGAAAATTTCTAAATATGGTTGATTAGGTCCTAAATACTGGAAATATTTTTCTCCCTTTTGTTATTATTTTTCATATTTTTCACCTGACTATCTTATCGCCATAGAACTTGGACTTAAAAGCTGATCTGCCATGTGCTACACACACATAAATAGTCATGTAGGACACCTTGTTTGTGCTAAAATGAGAGAACAGATGTGAAAGCACTTTGGAAATGGAAAAGCAAGCTCTGTACACATTACGGTATTATTATACAAATGTGAATGTGACATTTATCTTAGGGGTGTGGAAATAGGGAAGCCTTTCAGAACTTCTGAGCTAAGGAATCCAGTGTTTCCAGCATGATAGGAAACCCATTGTTTACACATGCTGACATCACTACATTTCATGGTTTCAAAAATCTTAATAGTATTGAACTTGATTTGTTTCTCCCATATTTATGTAAGATAATTTGATGCTACAACATTGCTTAAGTCAGAATAAAAGCAAACAACAGCCATGCTATTTAAATTTCTCTGGATTCCAAGAAAGGTATTTTAAACAGTTTCAATTGAAAATAAGTAACTAAACACTGTGTTACCTTTTGAAAAATATATGCTAACAAATTTAACACATAGAATGGACATTAAATTTACCTCATTTTAATCTTAAGCAGCAGTTTACTAAGTTAAAGCACTTCCACACATCTGCTGGGCAAACCTTAAGAAAGTTAGGTTCCTATAATTACTGAAGCCACAAAGAGCTTCAGGTTCCTGGCCTATGGCTAGAATTCCAAATCACTCTGCTGGGGGCTCAGCTAAACCTGGAGCAATAGAGGGGTCTCTGTGAACAAGGATTTGTCCTGGTGGTTTTCTCTTACCTGAATTTTCCTTTCTGTTAGGAAGTAAGAAAGCCTGAAGGTGGACTTCTTCCTTTTAGTGGGAAACAAGACTGGCGAGGCATGCATTAACCAACCTCCAGTAAGCCCTCAGGAGAAATCCATTGGGAAAGGGCTTCAGGGACTGAGCTCCCAGCAGGAAGCAGGTGTAACCAGCTGCTTTGGTACAGGAATTTTAATTGCTAATTCAAGTCTTCAGGAAGAAGAGTTGAATTCAACTTTACACTGGCTAAGGGCATAACTTTGGGGAAGACTTGGTCTAGAGAGAGTATGATGGATTATATATTTTTTAAAAAAGCAAATGGATTTCAAAAATTATTACAGCAAACAACCAGAAACAGAAAAATAAGAAAAAACATCAGCTGCGTGGCTGAGTGATGGAACGGTCACATAAATAAAACCATTCAACAACAAAATTACTGAGTATTTCATATTTTGACAGGTTAAAGCTTTGAAATGGCACTATTTTTAAAAGGTATCCATTCATTTCTCCACAATTTCTAGCATTTCTAGACTGGGAAAGAGTCTCAAGATAAATAAAAAACTGCAATTAACACAACATAAAGAGTTGAGATCCCCAAATCTCTTCTTCTTATTGATCGGATTCCTGTAGTGCCATCTCCTATTTACTCTGCAGCAAAAGCGCTATATTGAGCAGTGGGATTTTAGAAAGCTTCTAATAAGCTCCTGGCTGCTGATAGAGGCCCGGGTCTCCATCAGTCATTTGAACACTGGGAACAGCACTAGGGTGGGGCGGGGAGGGAGGGAAATGAGCACGTACACACAGACCCTCTCCAGCTCACATCGCATCCGCTGCTTACCTCACTTCTCTTTCTGCGTTTGTGCCTTTCTCACCTGGCCAGATAAAAGTTCATTCAATTTTCTCAAGGGCAAGACAGTTCCTGAAAGGGATGCATTCTGATTGGAACGACAAGAAAAAGATCTCGACTCTTCAAAAAGGTAATACTTCCCCTAGCTTGTGAATCTCAGCAAGACCATAAGGGAGCAATTGCTAGATTACCTCTGAGGGTTCACGCTCAGGCAGAAGAGTAATTAATTTCCTCTTTGAAAAAAAACTGCACTATGTGGAGAAATTTCATAAATTGCATGAGCAGTTCAGACAGGTGATTCTGTTGCTGAATTTGGCACGGTCAATAATGGCTAATTCTTGTTAATGAATGATCCTGCCTTATCCAGGGTAGGGAAGGGTTCAGGAAAGATCCAGTTTGTATTCATACATAAAGACTACAGGGTTCAAGGTTAAAGCAAATGTCTCTGCTGTCATTAGAGAAACTCACCCACGTATGTGGTCGATAAATACTAACAAATAGAAAATATATTAATATATTAACATTTTTGGGGAAAAAAGATTTTAGATTTGTTATTTAAAAAAAAATCAGTGAAAACAGTAATAAGGATTAAAAGATAATACTGAATAAGAGACAGGGAAGATTATTCTTTTCTTGTCTCTGCACCTCCCTGCAATAAAAGATTCTCCATAATCCCAACACTGCTATTCTCTGCACAAAGAACCCTGAAACCAATTCAGTACTGAGCAAGCTGAAAGGAGACACAATATCTCAGACCCCTTCTCTCCAGGGCATTTGTAGGCAGAACAGCCACGGCTTCCAGAACATTCTTTTCACATTTCTCTTTCATGAGCGGCAGCACTGAATGTTTACCAAAGGCTTTAAAAAAACAATCTCACCAAACAGAAGAGAAAAATATTTAACAACCAAGGCAAAGCAATTACAGTCAAATTTTCACCTCAAGATTCTCATCTTAGGTGTGGGAGGCAGAGAGAAGTCTCTTAACACATCAGTCTGAACCTAGAATGAGGACGAAAAGAGTAGATTCTGCCAATAGTTGTCAACAGATCCACAGCTTTGAATCTCGGGGTGACACTGCAGAGCAAGCTGCCATCAGAAAGTGCTTTAGTGACAGTACCACTATTTGGTTATGGCTGACTTGAATTTTTGAGCAGTGACCTGGGGACCGGAGAGACCCAGACATCCATACCCGAAATCTGAACAGGACAGACCTCTCTCTTCAGGTATTTGTGTCAGGAAGCAGCATCATTTTCAGCTACTCAAGGTGACAATATGAGATGGCTGCAACTAGTTCCCATTGTACAAGTCTATACAAATGTGTAAACTTGGCAGGAAATTAACAGCATTACTTGGAGTTAGCCTACTCCTCCCCACCCCCCTGACTTTCACCCTGTCATCCAACCAATTTAATTCTGTAATCTAGACCTTTATGACTTTTCATTGTGATTTGATTCTTATACAGCATTATTCCCTTTAGAGCAAAGACTTTCTGGGTGCAAAGAGACCAGACACAGTATCCTCAGTCAACAACTGGATAACAATGATTTGTGTCTACATTCTATTTCCAGAAAGGTCTGTTTCAATCTAGCTCAACTGAGCAGGGAATAAAAGTCATGACATAAAATGGGAAAATTCCAGTTAGGTTGTGTACAATATGCATCCACTGTAAGCGACTGTTCAAAATCAGAATGCAGTACTTAATCTCGGAAAAAGACAAAAACGTCACAGAGGCTCTGAACACCTTACCTGGGCCATCTGCCTCTCCAGTTTTGATCGGGGAATATCATCAAAGTAGTTTTCATTTCTTCTCCTCCTTGCATCGCCCTGCATGATAATGTGAGGAACGTCTAGGGAGCCACCAGTGGTGTAAGTGCTTTGGCTAAGTGATGGAGACAACTGAGGAGGAGTGTGATTACCACTGGGTTCCTGAATGGAAATACATCATGAAATAAATACCATGTTCTTGTGGCTGACCTCTGGTTTCAAAATTGTGAAATACTGACAAGACACACCGCGGGAGTGGGGAGTCATTTTTAAATCAACTGTTGAGGAATCGATGACATTCTACCATTTTATTAATGCATGATCAACACGTCTCCCCTTAAGCCTTTCAGGTCGAAGGTTTACAGCATAAAGAACCAGGCTCTGTTTTCTGAGCCTCCATCATGGATGATCTCAGCAGAGAGCACACATGTGTCAGGCACCCCCACGCTGTCACACGTATCTGCAAGGGAGGGAGCTGTGTCTCCATGGGAACAGAGTGGCCTCATTACGGTAGGTGCCATGATGAGACAGCTAAAATAGCACCTCGTGGGTCTTGATCTTCCCTCAAAAAGCAGCCTGGCCATCAGGCTGGGGAGAGGACGCGATCTGGAAATGGCATGCCACATGCACGGACTCCAGAGCAATGCATGAGGACAGGCTTTGATGGCAAAGACAACTGGGGGAAACTGGTTGAGAAGTAAGATAAAGGGCGGCCGAGAGCTGGGCTCTGGTGTTGCGAGTAAGAGGAGGACTGGATCGTGCTGGTTCTCCAGCTACTTCTCCCCAACACATTCCAGACCACCTCTGATGGGTTAACAAGGTCCTGCATTTTTTTCTTGGGAACCTCTTTCTTTGATTTATTTGCTGTTTCCTCAAGTCTCTTCCAGAGAGCCAGAGGGAGAGGTTCAGAAGAGGAAGGAGAGACAGTAGGGGACGTAGCAGGGAATATTCCTCTAAAGGGTCATTTAGGATGGTTACACTGAGGGTGCCTATATCTTTTTCCTCTTCATGCAGCAAAATGAAGGCAAAACAGTAATCCCTTTCTAGCTCATTTCCCCCCAATTTATCTGAGGCTCCTTCTATTGAGGGAGAAAATAGGTCCTTTTTTTTTTTTTTTTTATTGTCACTACTCCCAAAGCCCTCAACCAGCTTCCAAACAACCCAATATATCCCAATTCCCCTAGTCATCAATTTTTCTCATGACTCCCTCCTGGAGCCAATTCGCTCGCATTTTCTGAAGTCTTTGTGTATTTTCTTCTCCTTTAAAATTGAATCAGCCTCAAAACCTTAACAGCTCCTCTCCTGCCTGATCCTCTGCTACCCTGACAGTAGTTATGCTGTTTGCTGAAGTCCACTGATAAGAAACATGCAGCGGCATTTCATTGCTGGCAGTCATATCTAAGTGCCACTTTTGTGTTCATTTATTATCACTACCCTTTCTGACACTTGCAGAAAAGGAATCAGAAGTAAGCAAGTACAGGGCTCAATAAAGAGAAGAGAGTTGGAGCTCTCCAACTGGTCATGGAGACCCCGGCTTTATGGTGAATTTTTGAAAAGTTCCTATGGGCCTCATAAACACCAGAGACTGCTGGTCACTCCTTCCTGGGCCCATTCTCCCTGGAATCTTCTCCCTGTCTCTTTCCTTCTGCTCTTTCTTGCCTTCCTTCCCTTCCACTTTACTTCTCTCTTCCTCCTATGGTTTCTCTCTAGTTTTTCTATCCTATAATTCTAAAATATAGCTTAAATAGTTTACTAAAGTCCAGATTCTCTATTCTTAATTTTTGAAGTGGGTAAAAACCCAACAACTCATTTCTTAAAAAACAGAAGACCTGAAGGTTAATTTTAAATCGATCTTTTACTTAACTCTGATCCTCATCGATTTTCTTTCTGTGGGTTTGAGGAGTCTGACAGAAAATTCATTTCCTCTCTGTGTTGAGGGGAGTGTGGGATGGGGGGGCGGCAGAGAGATTCTTTAAAGGTGGTGGTTTTTCAGATGTTTATCTAAATCTCAAAAAGACAGATTTAACCAATCGAGAAAAACAAACCTTGTCTTAGAAAATGCTATCAAAGGCAAGAAAGCATTTTATACAGATAAGGTAAGCTACCTGGAAAACAGCCTGTACTTTCTGACCCACCACTTCAGTCATTCCCATCTTACTGCACAGCACAGTATTTTTTTTTTTTCACAGCACAGTATTTGAGGACACGAGTGGAGGGCAGAAAAAGCACGCAGGTACTTACCCTGAGGGTGATGGACCGAGGGGGCTTCTGCGGCGGGTCGTCGTGCAGTCTGTCTCCCAGAGATGCCAAGATACGTTTCCTGTGGCCAATCAAATTGATTTTTAAAACCTGAAACGACATGTATATTTGGATTAAATACTTCACTTGAGAAAAATGATTTTTACTTGTCCTGTAAGATGCGGGACGGGAGAGATTTGTGCAAAGTTACCTCTGCACCGGGAGAGATGAGGCGTGAGCTCCGTGGGTCCCCGCGAGGCCACGGAGAGAGGACGGGGCGGCGAGGCAGAGGAGGAGCGGGGCAGGGCTTCGGCAGCCAGGCTGCCCGCGGGTCCAGCTGGCCACCCAGCAGCCACAAGACCTCTCCAAGTGTGAGTCAGGTCTCATCCCTCCACTAGCTTCCTACGGCTCTTAGAGCAAAACCCAAGTCCTGACCTGGCCTCGAGGCCCGGCGGGGTGGCTGCTCTTTCTCTCTCTGGTCCCTGCCGCTCTCCCTCGGGCCTTCTCTGTTCCTTGAACAGTCTGGCCTTGGGGTCTCTACCCCTGTTTCTCCATCTGCCTGGAGTGCTCCCCGCAACCGCCTCTCCTGCGGTTTTCAAATGATGCTTTCTTATCCGTTCAGACGCTGCTTCAGTGTGGCCTCCTCACAGAGGCCCATCGCACCTCCTCGCTCAAAGAACCGAGCCGGCCGGCATGCTCCACCCCGTGAGCCTCTTCGTAGCAGTCTCTAAACAACCTTATTTGCGGGGCTGGTGTTTGTGTAGCCCTCCCCGCAAGGTGCTTCCCTGGTGGCTCAGGAAGTAAAGAATCTGCCTGCAATGCAGGAGACCCGGGTCTGACCCCTGGGTCAGGAGACCCCCTGGAGAAGGGAGCGGCCATCCACTCCAGTATTCTTGCCTGGAGAACTCCTATGGACATGAGAGCCTGGCGGACCACAGTCCGGTCCACAGGGCTGCAGAGTCGGACACGACTGAGCAGCTGACACTGGCGCTCTCCAGGTAACACAGCCCTGCTGGCGTCCGACTGTTTGTGACACCACGGACTGTAGCTCGCCAGGCTCTTCTGTCCATGCGGATTCTACAGGCAAGAACATTGGAGTGGGTTTCCATGCCCTCCTCCGGGGGATCTTCCCAACCCAGCGATCGAATCTGCATTGCAGGTGATTCTTTACCATCTGAGCCACCAGGGAAACCCAAGAATACTGGAGTGGGTAGCCTATCCCTTCTCCAGGGGGTCTTCCTGACGCAGAAATCATACCAAGGTCTCCTGCATTGAAGGCAGATTCTTTACCAGCTGAGCTACCAGGGAAGCTCTCAAAAAAAACATTCGCCCAGGTAAGTGTCCAGAGAGCAGGTATGTCTTTGTCATCATTATTTCCCCAACAATGTTTGAAATAATGGAAGCTCAATGAACATGGAAGAATGAATATTAAGGCAGATGAAAGTAAAAGTAGAAATAGAATCAAGTACTACTGACCAGGGTCTCCCAGGATGGGACTTTTGAGTCTGACAGCACACTGCAAAGGGCAAACTGCAGAGAGACGACTCAGGTAACCAAGCCTTGCAGAGAGCCTCGGTCCTCAGCACGCCCCAGAGCTTTCCACATTGCTCGCTTTCCTTCATCACACATTCCTGACGGGAAGGTGCGCTTCTCGACTTACAGCAGAGGAGACTGAGGTTCAGAGGGCTGAAGTAGCCTACCAAAGAGCCAATATATGGTGGCTCTGGGATTTGAATGTGGTTTGCCTGATTCCAAAACTTGTTTTACTCTTAGGCAAACAGCAAAGTCTGGGCATATCTCCAAATACCACTGACTTTTTAAAAACAACAAATTATAAATCCATTCATAAGAAAGATGTTCACCTCTTTCCTACACATATACGGTACTAGGATAGAACAATTCTTGTTGGATAACTAGTTCCAAAAGCATATGACCCATTGTGAAAATGATTTTTTTAATATTCTCTTCAAATTTTACAGGGTTGAGGCGGGTATTTCTCTGGCACTCATTCTGTGCTACCCTATTTGTCAGTAGCCTATTGGCCTCTCTGCCTAAATTGATTTTGATTTTAAGTTAACATGATGCTCTATTCCTTTTATTTTTAAATGCAATTTTAAAATATTTAAATTTTTTTATTTTATATTGGAATATAGTTGATTTACAATGTTGTGTTAATTTCAAGTGTTCAGCAGAGTGATTCAGTTATACATATATCCATTCTTCTTCAAATTCTTTCCCCATACAGGCTATTACAGAATATTGTATTGAGTTCCCTTGGTAAAGAATCTGCCTGCAATGCAGGAGACCTGGGTTCGATCCCTAGGTTGGGAATATCTTCTGGAGAAGGGAATGGCTACCCACTCCAGTATTCTGCCCTGGAGAATTCCATGGACTGTATAATCAATGGGGTTGCAAAGAGTCGGACACAACTGAGTGTAAATACTGTGCATATGCTATACGTAATAAGTAAGACTTCCCAGGTGGCGCAGAGGTAAAGAATCTGCCTACCAATGCAGGAGATGCAGGAGATGTTGGTTTGATCCCTAGGTTGGGAAGCTCCCCAGAGCAGGAAATGGCAACCTGTTCTAGTATTTCTTGTCTGGAAAACTCCATAGACAGAGAAGCCTGGTGGGCTACACTCTACAGGGCTGCAAAAAGTTGGATTCGACTGAGCACACACGAGCACGTGCTTCACAGGAGGTCCTTGTTGGTTATCTAGTTTATACATAGTAGTGTGTATATGTTAATCCCAACCTCCTAATTTATCCCTCTCCCACTGCATTTCCCCTTTGTTAACCGTAAGTTTGTTCAATTCCTTTTTATATTCACTCTCTGACCCATGTCTGTTGAGGGTGGGGATGGTGAGTGTTAATCAAGGTCTGTCTACATGCAACACCTCCCTCTGATTTTATAAACCTTCATCTCCCCCGGACTGATACATCCTCATCTGGGCAGGCTGGTTTCATAAAGCAGCTCTCCTTTCATAAAGCAGTCCCTTCAGTCCATTCTCTCTGTACTGTCTCCTCCCCTATTTCAACTGCTTCAGGTCTGCTGAACAAATTACTCAGAATAATCCAGGTATAGGCGAACTTTGGCACTACATTTAAGCAGGATACCATTTCCTGCTTCTAATGCCCCTTTAAAAATGCCTTTTCTAAGCACTCTTGATTTGTGGCTGGCCGCATAGCTGCAGTAGGAATAACGAGGCACAAAAATATACACTGACTGGAAAACCTCTTAATTCGGTCAGAGCTGATAGTTGAAAGCCTTTTAATTTGGAAGGATGGTTTGAATGATTTCTCCTACATTCCTTATCTTACAGTTGTCCATGCAGAAGCCCATCTGCCATCCTTCTGCCCATTCATGGAAGCTTGTGTTATCTTTCTATATTCATATTAGCCAGCTTGGCATTTCACTACCTGGAGGAACTTAGTAGTTTTTGCAAATCTGGAATTTCACCATCTACTCCTTCTTTCAGATGATTTATAAATATGCTAAATAAATGCAGTCCCAGGGCAGATTACTTGCAGACAATACTGTTCATACAATCCAGAGAAATGCCCTTGCATTGTTTCTTGTTTTTTAAACATCAAGATCAAAGAAAGCCTCCATTTCTGAAAAATACAACATTAACCTTTTCAAGTGTATTTGCAAGTCTAAAAACCACTACATTTTCTTATTCCCTTTTATTCTTATTCTCAACTACTTGGTTAAAACTTCTATTAAATATAAATTTCTCCCACAAAATCCTCTCTGCCTTTCTCTCGGAGGGAATTGAACCTGATGGTGATGGTGCTATCCCGGACCCCTGAATCCTGCTAAGAAATGTTCTTATAGCAATAAAAACATTCAAAATTATTTTGACAAATAACTGACACTAAATAACAACTGTGGTAAAACTGAGTGGGTGTAACCTCCATTGCTGCTTTGGATTTACTCTCTGACAACTCAATGCAAGTTACTTGACTCTTTGTTTCCAGTTTTCTTGCCTATAAAATGAGGAAGTTAATGCCCCATCTCAGTGCCTTTGGAAAGACAGAGTGAGACTGACAGGAATCAGCACAGTGCCCTGCACACACAAGATGTAACCTTCACAGGGTGCTCATTTCAGCTAACAGTCTCTAAGGATACATGGAAATCTGACCCGGCGAAACAGGGACTTGGCCATTTTTATAAAGTTAACCATGTCAAACAAATATGGTGATGATGTGCAGGAAGAGATGTGGTTAACCTCAGAAAAGTCCTCATGGAAGCGACATGCTGTGGTAGGAATGGGTCTGGTTTCTAGCTATTAGTGCAGTACCAGACCTAATCTAAAGGAAAGTATCCCATTCTTCCATCCCACCATTTAATCTCCAATAGGCAGTAAACTGAGGCCCTCCTCCACACTGGACTGTTGCTGCCTCCCCCACAGAAGTACCCCCGAAAGGGAGACAGACAGATAGGCAGCTAGGATGAGCTAGTTAACACAGAATGTGACTTGTGTCAACTATGCCTGGGTAGCTCCCCTTCCTTACTAGAAATGATCACATGTTATAGGAGGTAGTGATGATTACATTTACTCAACATCTGCTATGTTCTAGTTGTGCCAGAAATTGTGCCAAGTGCATTTATATATGTGTAAATATCTCCTTTAATTCTTACAGTAACAGTATCATTCCCATTTTAGAGAAGCCAAACCTGAGATTTAGAAACACTGTTATTTGTCAAATGTCTCACTGCTAATGGATATCATGGGTGGAATACGCATCTGATTATGAACCTGCTCTTTACCACTCACCATAGGCTCTTGTTGTTGCTACCAACCTCTATAGTGTTTGGCCTTGGTTATGCTATTGGTTGGTGGCTCACTGGTAAAGAATCCACTTACCACTGCAGGAGACACAGTAAATGTGGGTTTGATCCTGGGTCAGGAAGATCCCCTGAGTAGGAAATGGCAACCCAGTCCACGGCGAATTCCATGGACTGAGGAGCCTGATGGGCTATAGTCCGTGGGGCTGCAGAGTTGGACATGACTGAGCACGCACACATTACTGGTTACACATTATGATGGTTCTTAAGCTAGTGCTTTTTTTTTTTTTTTTTTTGCGTTATCATGTTCAAAACATTTA